AGATGTAGAGCTGGATGAACACAGCAGGCCAAGCAGCATCAGAGGAGAAGGAAAGCTGACATTTCCGGTCTGGACCTTCTGAAGGACCTTTCCTGCTCCTCTGATGCTGCTTGGCCTGCTGTGTTCATCCAGCTCTACACCTTGTTATCTATGATAAACGTTGGAATTGCTCAAGAGGCCAGCACCAAATGGGTGCAGACATTGGAGGGTCTGGGGCTGGAGGGGATTGCAGAGATTTAAAGGAATGGACTTCAAGACTATGGAGGGATTTCAAAACAAGATTAAGAATATTAAATTGCTTGACCAGGAGCCACTTTATGTCAAGGGTAATGACTGGGATTTGGTGTGAGTATAGTTTTGAACAGCAGACATTTGGATGATCATACGTTTATGGAAGGTACAATGTAGATGACTAGCCAAGAACACTTTGGCATAATCAATATGGGGTCAATAGCATGAATGAAAGTTTTGGCAGATGAACTCATGCAGGGGTGGAGTAACCCATGCTGTATGTATCTGTAAATAAACATTACTAATAAACATCAATAATTTTACACCTGTATTTTTACTGTGTTTTAAAAAAATTAAAATAGTGAAAAATATCACTATTTTCCAATCAAAAAATCACATCTAACCTTTGAGAAAATGAGATACACTTGCCACTTAAGTCTGTTCCATTATACACGAAGGCCAAACAACTACTTTTCCTTGAAATGCTTCAACAACTGTTTCTGGGTTTGCTGTGTCTTTTTGTACAGGTGTCAGAGTTTCAACTTGTTTGTTTTTAATCGTAACCTACTTATCAAGTCTGCTGCCTTACCAAACTTGGCATTGTTGCAAACAGTGAGCATGATTCCAATCAACTCCAACAGAACATAGGTACACTTTCAGAATGGGCAAATAGCAGATGAAATTTGTGTGTAACTTTGGCAGAAAGGACAGAAAGAGGCAATCTCCACTTAATGTCAGAACCTGGGCTTTTATAAGTGTAGATCTTTCAGCGTGATAGGTCATATTGAGAAGTTAGCAATGCAAATACAATGCATGGAGGTGTTGAGTACCAAAGTAGGAGAAGTTTGTCTGAAGTTGTTTAAAGGTTTGGGCACCATCACCCCTCCCCCCCAGGCCCCAACCCAGCTAGAGTATTGCATTCAATTCTGGTCACCACATCAGAAAGGATGTCAGGGTTGATGAAAAGGTGTACAGATTAATGAGATTGGTCACAGATGAGAGATTTTAGCTATACAGTTAGATTGAAGAAGATAGAATTGTCCTTCTTGGATCAAAGATGCTTGGAGATTTGACAGCAGTACATAAGATGATAACAGATTTAGATAAAATAGATAAGGAAAGCCATTTCTATTGCTGATAGTAAAATGAATACAGGCCAGATATATACAGATTTAGATACGAGATGTACGGGATATTTGAGGTAGAACATTTTTACACAGCAAGTAGTAATAACCTGGAATCCACTGTTTATTAGCATGGTAGAAGCAGAAATGACCAATCATTTCAAAATGACTTATTGAGCTGAATGGCTTCTTCCTGTGCCATAGCAACTTGAGAACTTCAGAAGTTCAACACAGCAATGTAGCTTCTACAGATCTTCCCTGTTGGTCAGTTTCATTTCAAAGAATTGGAACTGAAAAATCATTCTTGCCTTTCCTGACATAGCAAAGGTATTTCCAAATTCCCAGCCATTCTCAAATACTCAAAAGGAGCCATTTTGGGTTTATATTGTGGGAAACTTGAAACATTATTTATTTCAGAGAAGAGTGTTATCAACAGTGTTGTCAAGAGTCAGTTCGAGGTCACTGATCAATCCTACCAGACAGTCATAGAGATGTACAACACGGAAACAGATCCTTCAGTCCAACTCATCCAATGCCAACCAGATAAGCCAAATTAATCTAGTGCTATTTGCCAGCATTTGGCCTATATCCTTTAAACCCTTCCTATTCATATATCCATCCAGATGCTTTCCGAATGTTGTAATTGCACTAGCCTCCACTACTTCCATTGGCAGTTCATTCTGTACATGCACTACCCTCTGCGTGACCAATTCAGTGCCATTCAGAATCGTTTACTCAAGACTTTCAAATTCTTCTGTCAACAAACTGGCCTACAAATCAACATCTATTAAAATTGGCTAACAGTATCATTTTCCCTGAATTACTTGATTAGTTCTTGCCCCTCACCATGGTGGACCTATCTGTATCATGCAGCTGTTAATGCATTTCTTGCACTGTGGGCCAACCACAAGTTTACAGCTCAGAATGCGACAGGATAACTTCATTTTTACTATTATTACTCCAGTTAACAAACAACTTTAGAAGTCAACAAATGTGCAGAATAACACAAATCAATACATGGCTGAGAACAAATTCATTCTCCTGCAAGGTTTCTTCAAAGGCCTCAACTCTGCACTGTTAGGCATGTTCTAAACAAAATTGAAAATGTTACTTGAATTTGGTGTAACTGGATTATAATTGTGCATTAACTTCAATTTTTGATAATTATCCTTACAGGCCCTGAAAATTATATTTGTAGATTGAAGATATCACCCAAGATCATGAGTTCCTCCCTGTTTGCTGACATCACCACATGTCAAATCATTTTTCTGACTTGGGAGGCTCAATTCGGAGAAAGGATCACCAGACCTGAAACATTAACACTGATTCCTCTTCACCAGGTGCTTAAAACTTGCTGAGCTTTTCAGGCAACTTCTGTTTTTGTTCCTGATTTACAGCTTCTGCAGTTCTTCTGTTTTTGATTGGAGAGTAGGACTGGTGAATATTTCTAGTCTTTAAAGTAAGGCCTTAGTTTGTGTTTACTGATTTCTTATTTCTGTTAAAAATAACTGCTTAAATATTAGATCAGTATTAAAATTTTTATTTTTAGTTTAAGGAACCTCAGCACCTGCAATTACTCAAGAGGTTCTTGTAAGCAGTGCAGAGAAGAGGAGGACTGCATGGAGAATGAGCAAACTGACTACAGCAACATGAGACTTCAAGCAGGGGAAGAAAATAGCAATGTAGTACTGGAGGGGACAGTATAATTATGGGGTTAGACTGTCAGCATCCTAGTACCAGGGTTAAAGACATCTCCTCAGGGTGGGGAAGAACTTGGAGAGGGAGGGATAGATTTCATCATCATTAGTACCAGTCAAACTAGATTTTGCCAAAAACCTTTGAATATTTAGGAGCTAATAGAAAAGCAGAACCTCCAATGTAATAATCTCAGTATTATTACCTGAGCTATTGGTACAGACTAATGGGTCAAGGAATTAAAACTGTAGCTCAAAATTCGATGTGGGAGGAATGGGTTTCAGTTCATGGGATACTGGTAGCAGTACTGCGGTAGGTGGGAACTATTCTATTAGGATTGGCTTCACTTGACCTATGCTGGGACCAGCACCCTGGCAAATTACATGACAAGGACTGAAAGAGAAAGTCTTAAGCTGAGCAAAGTCCTCCTCCTCCTCTCGTGAGTGGTTTCAACTGTCCACCAATCACAACTGCATAGGACAGGACTGCAGAATTTAATTTGCTTAACTCCCATGATTTTCTGTTTATGCTGTTTAGCACACTAGTCCTGTTTTGTAGCTTCTCCAGGTTGACGCCACTTTCAAAAAATACTTGATGCTACTTCTGGAACATCTCCTTCACTCTTCATGGAACTAGGGTCAACGACCTGACTTGATGGTAACAGCAGAGGAAGAAGAATACCTCTTCCAAGTGTTCAAGGATAATGGATATCCAAGGAACTGGGTCAGAAGATGCCTATAAGAACAGCATCAGAAAGATTCTACGCACCCCGACACACACTCACTACCCTACATCAGGAACACGTCGGAACTCACCACAAGACTCCTATGACCGCTGGGCATCAGAGTGGCACACAAGCCCACATCAACCCTACGACAACTGCTCACCCAAACTAAAGACCCACTCCCCGCCATGGACAGGACCAATGTCATTTACAAAATCCCCTGCAGAGACTGCGAGAAACACTACATCGGACAAACAGTGAGGAAACTAACAACAAGGGTACATGAACACCAACTGGCTACAAAAAGACATGACCAATACTCACTCATCTCAATCCACATGGACAAGCACGAGAATTCCTGGAAGCATGCTATTAATAAACACATTGAACTCGACCCCATATACATTCCACTATGAAGGAAAACCAGAAGTGAGGCAATCCATCTCAACAGACCCCAGAGTTTAAAAACCAGGCAGGAAAACACACTGACGCTTCATCGGAGGCTGCACTGAGGATGTTACCAAGCATGGTAAGGAAACATCTGCAAAACAACAAACCAGCTCAGCGAGCCAACCAACTTCAACACCCACAACCAGAGCTACAGATCTACTCCAAAACTTTAGAGCAGGGAATATACTATACCATGACATTAAAATTTTAATCAGAGGACAATTCTTCCACCGATGATACAGCACATCATGGATGCCCCATTTTGAGTTGCTAGATATGTTCAAAGTCTAGCCATTTATCTCAATAATAGTAGGCACACAGAATGATGAACATTAGTGAGGACATTGTAGGACCTAGAGGGACATGTTTGCCATCATTATTTTTGATGCCTCAGACACGACCAGATGGTCTGCCTGGTTTTATTTAGAGTTAGAGTATAACTGCATGACTGGTAAGAGTTGCTAGATGAATGTGACAAAAAAAAAAAAAAAAATTGTCCGTTGCATTGAAGTAAATTTCCCAAGGTTATGCAACTAACCAGGGTGTAAACATTTATTACATTAAATCTTAAAATCAATTGCAAGATCCAGAACATAGCAATTATACAATCAGTTGTAACTGGATTGGTAAATCAACACTGGGTAGCAAGTAAGCTTTAGGAAAAAAACAACTTTGGCACTATTATATATTTATTGGGGCATATTATCAGTAACTAATTGCAATACCTAAAACATTATATGAAGCTAACTACAAACACAATGGCAAATAAATCACAGTAGTGTTCATGAATACAAAGTCTCAAGGGACTGGTGCCACAGTAGTGTCCCTGCTTTGGCACCAGAAGGTCTGGATTCAAGTCCTAACTGCTCCAGAGATATCATAATCAGTTTGAACAGGTGAATTGAGAACATTTACAAAATCTCAAATCTTGCATTACCCCTGTTTCTACAAGATAATTTTACAAATCAAATATACATTTCCCTCATTCCCCCTCAAGCAAGTTATTCTCGCATGAGAAGTTTAAAAATTAGTTGCATTCTACTTCACAAAAATTTAAACTTGTGGCTTCCTCCCCTTCATGATCACGATCCACAACTATTCCAATGACATGTACAGGGTGCTGGCATGCCTGTTGTAGAAAAAAGGGAAAGAACTTCTAATTAAGTACTTCAACAAAATGATCACTTTAATGTACCCCTAAACAAAACCATACAATTGAATTTTTAAAACTGCCAGTACCATTCAAACCAAAATTCATAGGCAACATTACAGAAACAAAGTATTCAAGGCTATGGGCCAAGTCCTGGGAAATGGGAATTACTGTCAATAGGTTGACACAGACTCAATGGGCTGAAGGGCCTCTTCTACACTGTATCACTAAGCATTATAAAATACACTGGAGCTGCTTAGTTTCAATTACGGTATTTTTCAAATTCAGCTGTGTGAAAGGGACATTTCCTAATTAAGTAGAAGGCAGTAATAATTTTAGGGTGACAATATCTTGCTTCAAGTAATTTTGAGTAAAATATTAATTCAGATCTGATAAGGAGGTATACACAGGCGTATCTCCACTTTGCTAGATTGTGACTTATTAGGAAAGTGTAAATAAATGAAAGTGAACAAAAAAGCACCAGCTGGTATTGGCATTACACCTTTAATGTAGTCAAACATCTACTGCCTGTTGCAGGGCTATGAAATAAAACTTGACATTCAATGCAAAATATTAGGGCATATTAACAAAAGCTTCAAAACGTGTATTTTAGGGAGTACCTCGAACGGAACAGAAAGAAGAACAAAAGATGGAAAGATAGTTTGGGAGGAAATTCCACACCTTGCCACCTTGAGCACTGGAAATGTAGCTGCCAGCACTGCAGCAACAATTAGGGTTGATCAAAAAGTCAGAATTTGAGGGTTGCCAGGCTGAACAGGAAATAAGACAATGGAGGGATTTGGAAAAAAGCATGAGAAATTTTCATCTTAGTGAAACAAGTGCACATAAGACTACTGGAAATCAGTGATTTTATTGGTGGCCTGAATGCATCAGCCTGATGGTCACATAGAACAAAAGAACAGTCTGGTTTAGTCACAAGAGGAATGTTGTTGGTGACAAGGCAAGAGTTTGCAGTTATTATCAAAGACATGGCCCTGCTTTATCCAATTCGTGGAGGAAGTCGCTGCTCATCCAGTAGAGGATGTCAGTCAAGCAATATTAGAGACACAGGACAGACTAAGATGGGGAGTTAAGATACAGCTGAATGTCAATGAATAATGGAGATGGATGGTGAATTTTCAGATGCTGTCGAGGGGCAGTATGCTGATATGAAACAGGAAGTGGCCAAGAATAGACTCCTTGTGAAATATTGGAGGTAATATTATATTCCAACCTGCCTACACAATGTCACTGCTTTAATGACAAGTTTGGAGAAATGAGCTGTTCCTTATTTCAATGGTAATGCAAATACAAGTAACAAGTTTATTCCTTCCAACAGGATCCAAAACACCAAATCTCTTTGCTTTGGGTTTTAGAGAGAATATTATTTCACCCTTAATAAGAAACTGTTATTTAAGAATCTGTCTTAGACAAAGCTGGAAGGGATAGGATAGGATATGACATTTCAATGTAATTGAGCATCTGACCTCTGCACATATCCTTGAATGTTCCTCCATGTTTAAGCACTTATTTCATGGTTCAGCTTTTCTATTTAAGAAAAATGAGAAAGAGAGAGTTAGTACTTACAGCATAACTCAATGTATATAAGAGTACAGAGATTTAACACCATCTAATAAAGTCAACTATGAACTACAATGAAAAATGCACAGGATGGCATCTGCTCAGAAAGTTTGATGCTGGTCATCCAAAGATTTGTTTAGGTGAATGTCAAACCTGGGCTTAAAATTATCCATTTTTCTTTGCATAAAAGGTAGCTATTCCTTCTGACAGGATCCCAAGCAGCATCAACTACTTGACTTTGGTTTTGAGACAAAATATCATCTTTATCCTCCCTTCAACCCCCCTCATTTGTTCTTGGCCATTTAAGACACTATTTGCCTGACACAAAGCTGGTGAAAGTGCTCAAGGTTTTTCTCACACTTGCACCTTAATTTTCTCCAAGAATACTATTTATTTCCTTGTTTCTAGTTCAATTTGTTTAAGTACATAGATAAATGTTGTTTCAAATTTTGATCACAACCCAGTGGCAATTTTACTCTTATTTCATTTCTAAAATATTAGAAATTTGGAAATGTATTATGTTCAAGAATTCAAATGGTTCCCCCAACAAGATCCAAAATTGGACACAAGGTTTTGTTTTAGATGATACAAATCACCCTTTTGCACTGATCATCTAAGATACTGAACACAGGACAGAAATGGAGTTGACAACACTATTGTTCAGGCACAACAGGCAGTCAGGCAAACAAAATGGAATTCAATACATACACAGGCACTCCTGTCATAAATCATATTCAATTACACCTTGATGGAAAAGGACAAACATGAGACAAGCATTAGCCTATTTGCATATGGAAATAAAAGGCCTAATGTGATTTTAGTTTGCCTTGGAGGCAGCCATGCCAGGACTGTCAAGTGTCATTTCTAAAATGGAATTATTCATGCCTCATTGCACAGTCTTTAACCAAGACATCATGGAAGTTATATACTATTCTTCAAATACACTGCCCAGGCCCCAAAATTCAATTGTTTCACATACTACTTAACATCTATTTTCAACTATTTCTCTACAAGAATTTAACACATGTAACCTTAACATTCAGCACACACATTGGTAAAATTCTATTGTATTTGTTTGATTGAGCCCTGCATGCAGCATGTCAGCTTATATTAGCATTCATACATCTGCACCATGCAATCTGCCATCCAGAAATTCACACAATTGTGCAATGGGTGCTAAAACATAACTGCCTCAAGACCATATTCAAAAGAGGCTGCAATCAGTGGAAGCCAAGTATTTTGTAAAGTATAATGGTAGTCACCTGCAATCTCAATTTGACACAGTAGACTCTACACTTTGACCTTGACTTGCCATTTTTAAAGATTAGTACAGTTGATATCAGGATGTAGCTGTTCCTCACGACAGGATCCAAAGCATCGACAATCGTTTTGCTTTGGGTTTGAGAGAGAAAATATTCTACCCTTCTGTGTTGGCCACCTAGGACACTGCCTGTCTTAGATGGGCAATGATGGAGGGGGAGCCAATACAAATAAAATTCAAGCCTTTTGATGCAAGTGGTTCCCTCCCTCAATCTTACTTGATGGTAATTCTTAGATTCACATTTCTTCTTTCCAATGTCATCTATTGCTTGGTTTTTCATTTCCCTGCAAATGGTGAAAAAAGTTACAGGTAAAAACGCAAGCCATCAAATTTTGATCTTCACAAATCAATTCAACAAAATTAACCTGCAAATCTTTTATCTGAATCATACAGCTATTGTTGAATTTAAAAGCTAGTTTGCAATAACATTAGGAAATATGTTCCACTCGACAGGATCCAAAGCATTCACAGGCACTTTGCTTTGGGTTTGAGAATGAAAATGATCTACCCTTCTGTGTTGGCCACTTAAGACACTGTCAGTTTTAAATGGGCAAAGCTATAAAGGGGTCACGTGGACATTTATGACACTGCACCTTTCAGATGAATATATAAGCAGGCAGTCATCAATCCACTTGAAACCATAAATTTCCTGTAATAACAGTAACACATGAAAATTGACCAACACATTAATTGGCTAGTTAAAAAATATTTGTTTACTACAAACCACCCATGGGGCCACATCCTACTTGCTCCAGATGAAATTTACAAGATAACAAATCTGTACCTTCCAGCATTTCACATTAGGTAACTTAAGTCATGAAGTGTCGCTGAGGCAATTAAACCTGAATGCACCTTTGGAGTTAGATACAGTGTACATAACTCATTTAGCTCTTGGTGCAGCCTTTGACATGTGCAACTATGACAATACCTTTCTGGCAGCAAAAGCTTACAACAGGCAGCAATTTGTGTGGTAATGGAACAGAAGAAAGAAATTGCCAGCAACAATCCAACAGTGACAGAGGACTTCCACATCAAGAATGTGCAACTGGATAGAGATTGCACTGACCCAAAATTGTGTAACCTTAACTTTTATCATAGTCTAGGTCAGACAACTTATTTGTTTTAATACAAGTAGCAGACACAATGGCATGCTTCTTTCATGTTGTGGCAGAAAAATAGATGGCCAAGTAGTAATATAGGTCAACTTGGTACGCAATCTACACTTAACAGAATTTGTTTTGTTGCCCTTTTCCGAACTTATTGCACTTCTCTGAAGATTTGCAAGATATGGAGTGCTGGTATTGGACAGGGGTGGACAAAAATCAAGATATCACAAGACACCAAGTTATTGTCCAACAGGTTTATTTGAAATTAAAAGCTTTCGAAGCGCTGCTCCTTTGTCAAAATTAACAAACAGAAATATACCAAACAGTCACATGGATTCAAAAAATGAAATCTGCTGCACTCTCCACAGATGCTACTGGACTTGCTGAGTTCCTCCAGCACTTTGTAATAAAACAAAATGAATTTAAAATCATCTTTTAAAAGGACAGCTCAGACTAAGGAGCACTGATGTTTCAGCCCAACTTGTGCACTGAAATGGATTACAGCAATAAGGCATTTGTCTTATCAAGACGGAATAAGTAGTTTAGGCCTATACTCTCAGGGGTTAAGATAATGAGATCTAATTGAGGTACATAAAACACAAAAAGGGGATTGACAAAGTAGACCTAGACACTTCATGTGGGCTAATCTAGAATGAGGGGCTATTGTTTTAGGATAAAGGGGTTACAGATTTAGGCCTCTTTTGGAATAGTGCATCCAATCCTGGTCACCCTGCTATAGGTAGGATGTTGAGAGAATTGAAACAGTTCAGAAAAGATTAGGGCTATTTTCCCTGGAGTGGAGACAGACAGGTGACTTTACAAAGGTTTAAAAAATCATGACAGGCATAGATACAAACAAGGTTTCTTACCCCAGAGTGGGGTAAGAGTCCAAAATTATAGGGCATAGGTTAAAGGAGAGAGGGTAAAGATTCAAAAGGGACCCAAGGGGCAACTTTTTGATGCACAGGGTGGTGCATGTATGGAACAAGCTGCCAGAGGCAGTGGTGGAGGCAGGTACAATTACAACATTTAAAAGGTATCTGGAAGGGTATATGAATAGGAAGGTTTAAAGAGATAGGGGTCAAACACCACCAAATGGGACTAAATTTATTTAGGACACCTGGTCAGCATGGACAAGTTGGACCAAAGGGTCTCTTTCCATGCTGCACCTCTCTATGACTGAAAAGTAACTTCTCATAAAAGGGTAGAGAATTGGCAGAATTCACCACCCAAGGATCAAGTGGATGGATTTGATACTGTACTGGATACAGGGGAGGTGATGACTTTGTGGTATTATCGCTGGGCTGTTAATCCAGAAACCCAGCTACTGGTTGAGGAACCTAGTTTGAATCTTGCCATGGCAGATGGTGGAATTTGAATTCAATAAAAGTCTGGAATTAAGAGTCAAATGATGACCACAAGTCCATTACTAATTGGTGAACCAGATGGGTTTATCCATCAATATCCTTTAAGGAAGGAAACTGCCATTCTTATCTGGTCTGAACTACATGGGACGCCAGGCCCAGAACAAGGTGGCTGACTCTTAACTGCACTCAGTGATGAGCAATAAATACTGACCTAGCCAGCAACACCCTCATCGCCAGAATGATGAAATAAAAATGGATGCTGGACATTGAATAAATTCATGGAGGGGAGATAAGATAGATTTTTAACTAATAGGTTTAAGGGTTACAGAGAGCTGGCATGAAAGTGAAAGTAAATTTCAATTTACTCCCACATACACCTAAAAACCGACATTTCCAGTTCTTTCCCAAGATGTTTTAGTCAGCAATATTTCTTGCCTCACAACCTTTAGTATTCAGTCAGTGGTATTAACAAAGGTAAGAAATTGAGCCAGGGATGTTCCCTATACCAGGGACCAGGCCAGCAGCCTAGACAAAACAAAAAGTTCAGGGTTGCGATTGAATTCATGTCCCTTGGTGACAGGCCAGCTGCACCCTTAATACAGCCCATCCCCCATCTAAGCCAATTCATCCTCAGTAACAAAATGATTTTTGAACTGATTTACGGCGAGTCAAATATTTTCAGGGCAATATCAATGAAAATATCATGGATGTTCACCTGAATATTACTCAATGCCACGTGGGCCACTTCCGTTCCGGCTGGTCTGCTCACAAACGCCATTTCTTGGGACTCCTCTCTAATGTCCGGGTCCTTAAAAAAAAGAAACATTTAAAAACTCAATAAATTCAGTCCATGCAATTACACCTTCCTGACCGATTAGACTCTCTCACTTTTCTTTCCCGGGATTCTGGTAACGAGGCGTCGGAGGAAAAAAAAAAGAACAGGCCCCGAATAAAGCACCAACTACCCCCAAGTCACGGCGGCCCAAACCCCAGCGCTTCTTCCATGGGATCGGGCGGTGTATTCACCACCATCACTCCCACACCCCCTCACTTCCCCGGACAGTGGCCGAGGCGCCTCACTGCCCTCAGTTTCCCGGGTCTTACTGCGGGCCGGCAGCCGCACCACGCGGTTACCGCGCACGGAGCCGGATCCCATTGACACGCGCTCACCCAGCAGCAGCTGCACAAGCAAAGAGGCGGGGCCTCCGGGCGTGTATCGTTTTATACAGTCACCGGGACACGCCTCCCTCACAGACACGCACCAGTCAGCGCAGCGGCTACCGCCAATGCCCCAGCCGGAGACCGCGGTAGGCACCACCTCCCCGCTCTGTTCACTGCGGACGGATCGGGTATTTTCACTGCGGGATTCACAGCTCCGCCTCCGTAACAGCTTCAAAGCGAGCAGGGACAGCGGGGCGAGATCTCCCGCCTCCAACTCCTCCTTTAAGCAATTAGGCGAGACTTCTGCGCCCCGCCTCGTTTCATAGCACAATATCAGAAATTGCTGGAAAAATGCAGCGGCTGTGAAGCTGCAGTGGACCCTTAGTCTCCTTTTGCAATTCCTCCGCATGCTGAGGGGTCGCAACCTGCGTCTCCCTGCTTCTGCACTCAAGGCAGAGCCCTGCCTCGTTTCTCGGTAGTCAAGATCACGGAGCACCACCTCCGTTTTCAGACCTTCAAATCCTCGCTGCTCGTGATCTCTCAGGTTACAGGTCTCTTTGACAATGCGAGCATGGATACACTCACCTATGCCTGGAATCGATCCCGTGTCCCATACGTTGTTGGAGGTGGCGAGCTGTAGTGCTAACCATCGGGCCACCTACCACCCTTGGAGCTTAGCCTCTCTTGACTTTGAGGGTAACGTCTTGATGTACCGCCTCCTGTTTTAATTCTCCGTTGACAGTGAGATCAAGCTCAAGGAGATAGTGACCCAAAGGCTGAATCGGACCCGTGTGAGTTAACCAAGGGGCCACCGTGCTGTTCGACACTTTCCCGTTTCGCCTCCTTCGACATGTATGCAAGGCCTTGGGGTTGATGTGACGGGGCGGGGGGCTCAATTTCTAAGTGGTTAGCTCTGTTGCCTTACAAACGCCAGGCTCCAGGATCCGATTCCCGCCATGGTGGCAATGACGATCATTGAGGAAATAGAAGGACAGAAAACGGATGTGTTGCTTTGTGATCTTGAATAATGAGGAGTAACAAACCAAAAAAAAGCTGCAGATGCTGGAATCTAAGGTAGACGAACAGGAAGCTGGAAGAACACAGCAAGCCAGGCAGCATATGAAAGGAGCAGCCAACGTTTCGGGTATTACCCTTCTTCAGGACTGGATGTGGGGGTACGGGGAGCTGCAGATAAAGAGGGCGGGGGCGGAATGGTGGTGATAGTTGGACACTGGTAGCAGGTACGACCTGGTTGGTCGACAGGAGGGATGAATCTGGTTGGCAGCTGGAAGGGGAGCTAGGGAATCAAAGGTTACGGGGAGAAAGTGAGAGAATGGGGTTGAGGAACTTATCAGCCATGATTGAATGGTGGAGCAGACTCGACGGGCCGAATGGCCAAATTTCTGCTCCTATTGCTTATGGTCTTATGGCTGGGAAGTTTTTTAAATTGGGGAACTCAGTGTTGAGCCCTCTGGGCTGTAAGGTGCCCAGGCTGAAGATAAGATGTTGTTCTTCAAATTGGCAGTGTGAGTCACTGCGACTTGTTGGAGAGGGAGTTGAAAATGGGTGGTGACCAGGAGGTTAGGTTGGTTGTTATGGGCCAGGTGAAGATGCTCAGTGAAACTGTCACCCAGTCTACATTTGGTTTCACTGATATAGAGAAGATCGCATTGGGAGCACCACATGCAATAGACGAGGTTGGAAGAGTTGCAAGTGAAGTTCTGTCTCACGTGGAAGGACTGTTTGGGGCCCTGAATGGAGGTGAGGGAAGTGGTGTGTGGGCAGGTGTTGCATTTTTTATGGTTACAGGAGAAGGTACCGGGCAGGTTGGAGTGGTGGGTGGAGAGCATGGCGCCAACTAAGGAGAGGTGAAGGGAATGGTCCTTATGGAAGGCAAGAGAGGGGTGGGGAGTGGAAGATGTTCTGGGTGGTGGGGTCTAATTGGAGTTGGCAGAAGTGTTTGAGGATGATACATTGGATGTGGAGGCTGACGGGTTGGAAAAGGGGGCCCCTATCTTTATTATGTTTGGAGGCCGGGGTTCTTAAGACCTGTGGAGTGGGAAATGGAGGTGCGGTGAGGGGTTGTCTGGATGACAGAGGGGGAAAAAGCGTGGCTCTGCTCAATCAGGAATCAAAGAAGTGAAAAAGGTGGCAGATCTCGTTAGAAAGATGTGCAGGTTCAGTGGATTAGCCAGGGGAAGTGCCGGGTCATAGGGATAGGGGTGGGGAAGGGTAGGCTGGTTTAGATGGGATGCCCTTGGGAGGGTTGGTCTACATTTGATGGGCCGAATACCTTGCTTCTGCAGTATAGGGATTCTCTGCACTCCGCCACATTTGTCAGTTTTAGTTTCCTCATTGGCAGTAATCTTATGAACCCCGCCTCCATCGAACAGTGGACCCAGGCGTTGTGAGGCAGCAGCGCTAACCAGTCAGTCATCAGGCCGCCCCCAATCCGCAAAAGCTCCAATTCCTTGCTCACACTGTCAAAGGAGGCGAAACGCCAAAGACTTGTACGGCACGGTGGCTACTTGGTTAGTGCTGCCTTTTAGCGTCAGGGACCCGAGTCCCAATACCGCCTTTGGGTGACTGTCTCTGTGGACCTGTTCTCATTGTAAAAGGAGGCGGAGATCTGCGGTGGGTGGTGGGTGGCCAGTTGGCATCATGACTGAGATCTGGTGGTGGGGCCCTGCACATTCAGTAATTGAGGAGATGAAAAAAGGTCGTGGGTATCCCTGTACATGGACATGCAAGCACAGTTGAAAGATGTGCAGTGGAACAGCTATGGGAAGTGCAGGGTGACAGGAATAGGGCAGGATACTGTACGAACACAATTAGATGGGCCGGATGCCCTGCCTCAGCAGTAGGGGAATTCTCTGCTCCCTGCAACTTTTTCAGTTTCAGGTCATCGATTTCACGTTGTGTGGGGCCCTGCCTCCTTTCTCAGTCCCGCCCCCCCAAGTCTTCATTAGTGGTTTAATTCCTCGTTGGTCCTGATCTCAGGTTTCAGGTCCTTTGGACGATGGGGACATAGACACAGTCAAATGCCTGGAACCAATCTCGGGGTCCCCGATGTTATGAGGCTGCAGTGCTAGCCACTCTGCTAACGGGCCACCCACTGCCCCTGGGGCTTCGCCTCTGATGACAGTGTGGGCAATGTCTTGGTGCACCGTCTCCTGTTTCAGTCCCTCACTTCCTCAGTGTGCGGTATCACGGATCTCCGCCTCCTTTTACAATGAGACAGTCACCCAAAGGCAGTATGGGACTCGGGTGCTTGACTCTGTGAGGCGGCGTGGGGGGTAGGGTGGTCGGTGTCACCATGCGGCTCGAGATGTTGGTGTTTTGCCTCCTTTGACAATGTGGCCAGGCATTGGACTCATGTGAATGTGGGGTGGCCCACTGGCTTACTGGGTAGCGCTGCTGTGTGACAGCACCAGGGTCTGGGGTTCAATTCCAGGTGTGGAGGTGGGATTCATGTGATTTCCTCCAATGGGGGCGTGAAACCGCAAAAGGATGCAGAAACAAAAAAGGTGGCAGATTCATTCCTATGATGTGCAGGTTGAGTGGATCAGCCAAAGGATGTGTGGGGTGACAGCTGTGGGGGTAGGGTGGGCGGTTCTTCCGAGGGTCAGACGATAATTGAAAGTCGAAGAGCTGGGGCTCTGTACAATGAGGAATGGAGGACATAAAACGGACAAATGTTGCAGGATGGAGAGAGCCCCTTTACTGTTATCAGCCCATCGAGTACTGACCGACCCACCGAAGGGTATCCCTACTCTACCTCGATGCCAGGAATCGAACCCTGGAGCAAAGCGGTGTGAGAGTGTGACCAGTGGGCCAACTCCTTGCCCACACCCTCATCAGAGGATTAGCCCCAAGGAGTGGTGGGTGGTTGGCACAGCAGCCTCACAACTCCAGGCCCGCAAAATCATAAATTGAAGGACTGAAAACAGGCGGTGCTCCTGACAAGGTGGAAACTCAGAAATATGCACACTGCCCAAGGTATTCTTGCCTAGCAAGTAGCAACTGACCCACTGAAGAAGCACTGTCCCCTACCCCTGTCACTCCCTATGCCCCAAGGATGATCCAACATCTTGTGGATATCCCCAACACCTGTCACCTGCTCAACATCATTGGAATGTTGATTGGAACAGAGATCTGCCACCTGTCTTCACATCCTTTTCCTCACTACCCACTCTGGCATGCAGGGCCCCTTCACAGTCAGGGATCGGCTGAGTGTCATACAGTTTCGTTGGATTAGCCAGGGGAAGTGCTACGCTGCTTCTACAGTCAAGGGGTTCTCTCATCCTGCGACATTTAGCAGTTTTATGCCTTCCATTCCACATTGTGCAGAGCACCAGACTCGTCGGCCTCTCAAGTGCCGACTGCCCAGCCCCCCAAAGAGCTGCCCACCCTACCCCCACACCTGTCACCCGGCATTTCCCCTGGGTAACCTGGCTGAGACACGGAGATCTGCCACCTTTTTCCACTCTACCTCCTTTCGGGATTTCGCCGCTCCTCATTGGAGGAAATCGCATGAATCCCACCTCTCTGCCAGGAATCGAATCCCGGAGCCTGGTGATATGAGACAGCAGCGCTAACCAGTGAGCCACTGGGGGGCCGCGCCCACGCCCACGCCCACACCCACATCCACATCCACATGAGACCAATGCCTTGCCCACATTGTTAAAGGGAGGCGAAACGCCAAAATCACGAACACCACGTGGGTTTCGTCCGGGAGCTCCGGTTTCCTCCCACAGTCCAAAGATGTGCAGGGTAGGTGGATTCTGATGAAGGGTTTAGGCCCGAAACGTCAGCCTTTCTGCTCCTATGATGCTGCTTGGCCTGCTGTGTGCATCCAGCTCTGCACCTTGTTGTCTCAGGCATGGATTGGCCATGCTAAATTGCCCGTATTGTTGAGGGATGTGTAGATTAGATGGGTTATAGGGGGATGGGTTTGGGTGGGTGCTCTGAGGTTTGGTGTGGATTTGTTGGGCCGAAGGGCATGTTTCCACTCTGTAGTGATTCTGTTATATAACCAC